CACACACACACACACACACACACACACAGAGTCAGTCAATCACGAACACCACACATCCGGCTCCGTTTCTCGCAGAACGCACCAATCCCTCTATTTCCCTCTCTCTCAAGCACGGATACGAGTCGCCCCCAGCCTTCCCCCCCTCCCGCTCTGTATGTGTGTACTGTCCGTGTCAAAGCAGGCGGGAAGGTGTTCTCAGCTCTATTTCTGGCCGGCAATGAGTTGCCTAACTCCACTCTCATCTGCAAACTTCCTCCTTCCACCACACCTTCTACCCGCTCCGACCTCGCCGGGGCCTTCCTCCAGGAGCAACTGACAACACAGCTCTGCCCCCATCTCATTCGGTTACATTCGGTTATTCTCACCTCCCTTTTCCGTTATATATTCGGTTTCTCTAAGGTTGCAAACCTCCAGCATTATTTGACAGTTTTCTTTCATTCTTTCACGTTTTGAACTCTCCACCTGTTGTAAATCACACAGCTGCTACCGGCGGCCCTTCGTTGTGCACCATTCAGTTCAGCCCCCCCCCCCCCCCCCCCCTTTTGCAGGAGCTCCAGGAAACACTTGTGATCTCAGCAGATCAGATCCGTATCTTGTTGTACTCCGACAATTCATCGCACCTAGCCGACTTTCGGTATTTTCCCAGAAACGGGAGCGTCATCAAGTCATCACCTGTTCTTTGTGGACAAGTTCTCTATGTGGACAAGTTTTTCCTTTTTTTCAATTTGTTTTTTTTTTTTGTATTTTGTATTTTTTGTATGGGTACCAGCACCGCCTTTCGCTTGTTTTGGCATTTTATCTGTCAAGTGGTGTCAAAGACTGGAGCTAGAGTCTCAAGGACTTCTCTGCATGTATCTGGTCGTGTCCCCTTATGTACCTGCCTGCAATTAGGACAAGAGAGTCCACGACGGTCTTGTGTGGATGTCAGCAGGGGCTACTGCGTTCTTGTGTGGATGTCAGGAGGGTCTGTTTTTTCCCGCCAATTCTTGCACCCCGGGGTCTGTTTTTTCCCGCCAATTCTTGCACCCCGATTCCGTTACTTGGCCGAGCACCTCAAACAATTTACAGTTAGGCCAAACCCACACGAAGCCTTTTCGACTAATTTCACCCCCTGGACGTAATTTCGGCTTGATGCATCAGGACGGGCTGTGAATGCTCTTTACTGTTCGGTTTCAGGCAGTACTGCCATCCGTCTCCGACAGAGAAAACTGTACCGGTTCCGCTTCCAAGGTCCCTCCCTCTTCCCGCCCTCTCTTTCCTGCCAGGTAGTGGGACCTCGCCCCTCCCCTCCTTGCCTTTGCCTGCCCGTTTGACCGTCGATAGAGGACTTATTACAACAGGGGCAAGGTCCCACTTGCGCAAATTAGATCTCGGCCGTTGATCTTTGCTATCTACGGTCAGTATCTCTTAATTCGTGCAAGTGGGACCTAACCCCAGCTCGCGTCATCTTCGTATACATATATATATACATATTCGTATACATAAATATACATATACATACATATTGCCCAACTTCTTGCCTTTCTGTTTTCCCCATCCCCTCCTCATCATACCCGTCCCGTCCATTCCACACGAGACCTTGTTTTGGTCTGATGAGAGCTGTGGCAGGGCTAACGCGCCGAGCCCGCTTTCCGCCCAGATTCGTGGTAGACAGCGCGTTCTGTTCTGTCGGATTGCACCCGCGACACGGTTTATCTGCACCGCAGCATCGGCACAGAATGCACCTTTTTTTTTTGTGAATGTACCTTTCCAGAACTCTGGCGGCGATATATGGCCAACTGCTCCAGTGGCCAAGCATCTGTGCCGCCATCTGTTCACCAAGTTAGGACGATCACATTCGGATGAACATCAACCTGCCCCCAAGCACACGTCAACACACAGATCACCAACAATATAATCAGATACGGAAGGAAGCGTAACAGTACGTTTCCAAGCCATTTTTTTCAGACAGGCGCCGTGCATGCTGCCGCATTGGGCGGGATTTACCGGGGCGCCAGTAGACTGGACATCTATCCAGCAAAACGGGTACCATGTGAAGCCCATTTTGCCTGGATAGATGTCGAGTAAAAGGACACCCATGCTACCCCCATTTGCCTGGATGGTCCAGTGAAAGGACCCCTGCATCCCGCACTACGCGCCAGCAGCGTGCATCTCTGCGAAAAAAAAGGCCGGATCGGGCCACACACTGGTGGTTTAAACCCCCAGTACCTCGCTCAGCTATCAACTCCAAGGGGTGGACCCCACTGCTCGGCGGCTGGAAAAAGTCGTTGGCCAGAAAAAGCGGTGGAAAGACGGCGGAAAGACTTTGGCGGGTTTCTGTGGGACCCCACCGCCAAAGTATTTCCAAAGCTCTGGAAAAAGCAAAACATACCCGAAAAGGACAAGTTGGAGGGTCCCCCCCCGAAAAGGTCGGGATGGGATTGTGGTGCACCAAATTCGTCCGTCGCTGCAGGACACACAACGGCCCACATCGGAACCGTGCGACAGGGCATTGCATGTCCGAGGAGGCTTACCCGCCCATGAAACGGTCCGTCGTGACGTGAGCTGGACCACGCTCGCTCGGCATCTTCTTTCCACAGGAGAACATGCCCCCCCCCCTAGTCGGTTGGAAGGCCTTTCTGGAAAGGTCGTGGAAGGCCGTGCGGTTCGGTTTCCAGGCCGCCAACCGTGTAGAAACGCTTCTGACACCTTTCCGGTCCTTCCATGGTCTGTGGGGTCTGAAAAACCTTCCAATTCTGAGTTTCCATCCTCTTTTCCAGATCAGTGGAGTCCCAAACACACCAGCCTGGAAAGAAATTTCCAGGAAGCCAAGCAGTGGGGTCCGACCCCAAGCCTCCCACAACCGAAAAGAGGGCTTTGTTTCATTTTTCAAAAACCAAAAGAGAAAAGAAAAGAAAAACCAACAGGCAGAGGGGGGGGGAGGGGGGGGGGGGGGGGAGAGAGAGAGAGAGAAAGAGAGAGATTGTTCCGCTTCACCCTCGCGTGCCGTTACTAGTCATATGCATGGGCCTTGTCAAATTTCTCGTATGTGTTCCCTCAATTTTCCACCTGGTAGTGGTCCGGCCCACTCTTGGGTGCCTTGTCAAGTTTCTCTCATGTTTTCGTCAATCTTCCACTTGGTAGCGTTCCACTTTATTCTTGGGTGCTTTCACTAGTCATGTGCATGTGCTTTGTCAAGTTTCTCTCATGGTTTCATCAAATCTTCCACTTGTGCAGTGTTCCGCTTCACTCTTGGGTGCTTCCACTAGCCATGTGCATGTGCCTTGTCAAGTTTCTCTTAGGCTTTCCGTCAATCTTCTACTTGGTAGTGTTCCGCTTCACTCTTGAGTGCTTCCACTAGTCATGTGCATGCGCCTTGTCAAGTTTTTATCATGCTTGTCGTCGATCTTCCACTTGGTAGTGTTCCGCTTCACGCTTAGGTGCTTCCACTAGTCATGTGCATATGCCTTGTCAAGTTTCTCTCATGCTTTTCGCCAATCTTCACTTGGTAGTGTTCCGCTTCACTCTTGGGTGCTTCCACTATTCATGTGTGTGTGCCTTATCAAGTCTCTGTCCTGCTTTTCGTCAATCTTTTACTTGGTAGTGTCTCGCTTCACTCTTAGGTGCTTCTACTAGTCATATGCATATGCCTTGTCAAGTTTTCTCTCATGTTTTCGTCAATCTTCCACTTGGTGGTGTTCCGCTACACTCCTGGGTACTTCTGCTTGTCGCGAGCATGAGATAGGGCTGTGTATTCCCGACATTATAACGACCTCCCCCCCATGTGCTAAGAGTGAAGCGGAACACTACGAAGTGGAAGGTTGAGTCCAAATATGAGAGAGACTGGCTATAGTTGAAGCATCCAAGAGTGAAGCGGAACAATACCAAGTGAAAGATTGATGAAACTCATGTGAGAAACTTAACAAGGTGCACATGACTAGTGAAGGCACCCGAGAGTGAAGCAGAACAATACCAAATGGAAGATTGATGAGACACATGCGAGAAACTTGATAAAACACATGCACATGACTAATGAAAGTACCCAAGAGTGAAGCGGAACACTACCAAGTGGAAGGTTGATCCAAACATGGCGGAAATGGTGGCAAAACACCTACTCAAGGCGAGTGGAGGCAAGTGCTAGAGTAATGAGTTGCCACCAAGTGAGAAAATAGACAAAATATGGCGAGGGGGTGAGAGAATCTCACTCCCAACGTTCAAAGATCAACGTGGCAATTCACAAGGAAGTGACAAGGAGGACAAT